CTTATTTGCTCAAAAAATACAGTTAAAAATAGTAATATTGTGAAATATTATTTTTGTGAATATGTTAAAATCAAATTTTTTCCTGTGATTAATGCTGTATTTTCAGCATCATTACTGCAGTCTTCAGTCAGTGTCACATGATCCTTCAGAAATCACTCTAATATGAGGATCTGATGCTCAAGAAACATTTATGATTATAGTCATATTTTTGTGGAAACCGTGATAAATTTTATTTTTCAGGATTCGTTGATTAATAGAAAGTTCAAAAGAACAGCATTTATTTGAAATAGATTTTTTTTTTAACATTATCAATGTCTTTACTGTCAGTTTTGATCAACTTAGTGCATCCTTACTGAATAAAAGTTATAATTTCTTTTTTAATTGCTTTGTAAATCATTTTTAATGTGCATTTTCCGTCACTTGAAGCATTTATTCAGCATGTTTGGATGACGACACAAGTATACCTCACATGGGACGTGCCGATCAGACTCACAGCCGGGTCAGGGCTCTCGGTACTCTGGGGTATATATATAAGTCAAGTGCAAAACACAAAGTCAACACAGCAGTCCGAGTGGGACGCGAGCCAGGGGTCATTTTCATGATGGTGCAAAAGCCATTTAAAGTCCCTGTAAAGGCAATTTCAAAAAAAAATTCTAAACACATTATAAATGTTAGAAATGTGTTGCTAAAACATATTACAAAGACTGTGAACTGTGAGGTACTGATTTGTGGAGTTAGACCGTTAAACAGTTTTTCACCATTGCTATTTTCCGGATTTTCTGGGCGGGGCTAAAACAGGGCTTGATGACGCACTGGAGCCCTTGAGCTCCTGGACACGCCCCTACTTGATGACGCACTGTAGCCGCTGAGGCTGGCCGCTCCTAACAATAATAGAGCACATTCACATCAGTTTGCCGCTCAATCGCGAGTTACTGTCAGCACTATTATTAGTAACACAGCCTACAGATTGCTAGCTACTAGCTATGCCTTCGTCACGGAAATGCGTAGGCCTACTACCTGGATGCGATCACCGGATCACGTACAAAACAGATCGGTGTCCTTATTTAAATTTCCGAAAAACGATTACATCAAGAAGAAGTGGATTAATTTTGTGAAGAGCCACCTTGATGGAGAGCTGAGGATCACCGCCAACACCCGCCTCTGTAAGTGATCATTTTACACGGGATAGTTTTATAAACTTTCGTCGGAGATAACTGTCAGGGATTCACTGATAATCCGCTGTTACTGGTGAGGGGCCGAACCGACTCCCGCCTGGCCTTCATCCTCCCGTCGCGCCGACAACTGGTGTCATCGGCAGTGCGTGTGCCCACTGCCCACCGTGCGAGCATCTATTCCGGCTGTAGAGTTGAGTGTGGCGAGTCGACGGCAGCTTTCCCGCGAGTGGGCGTGGTTTCAGCGCAGCCAGTGGACACGCCCCCAGCGTTTGAGAGCAGAGAATACTGCTCATTTCTTCAAGATTTTGATAGCTTATTTTATGTACTTGCTGGCTTTTTTTATCATTCAAATTTGGCTGGGTGACTAATAACTAATTTTTCTGTGGTGTGACAAACTCAAAACACATACTTAATTTTGACTTTACAGGGACTTTAACTCTTTCAGCCGGTCGAAGCCAGAGTCCCGACAGCTGCTGATCACTCACTCATTCCTGCTTCACTCGCTCATACACTAAAGATGAACGAGCCAATGTGGGGCGAGTCAGTGTGTCATTTCCCCTCCTTCATACACACACACACACACACCTCTATTGTTAGATGTCACCCAAGCCCTGCCGCAACATGAACGAGTGCAATGGACCACAACACTAAGAGCTGCGTTGTGTGTGTTTGTCATGTGCATGTATGGATGAGTGCAAATCAACAGGCACACCTCATTATTAAAGGAGAACTCCGGCGCAAAATAAACCTTTGGTCTAATTACACATTGTTACCTAGTCAACCGTTATCTGAGATTTGTTTTCATGATTATCGAATGTAAATAGTTTTATCTCTAAAAACAGTTTAGCCTATAAAGCTAGTATAACGCTAGTATATTGGGCATAGTGTAATGACAAATAAAAATCGCTTGTTAATACCACTAATAAGAAGATATTTTAAACATACAGTCAACTTCGCGTATACAGGCAGAAGCCATCTTTGAAAAACAGTCTCTACCAGTCGATCTACGAACGCCGATCCAAGCCTGCTGTTCGCGCTCACCTTATCACAACTTATAGCTCGTTCACATCTCACCAGCGCACTTGGATCGGCGTTCGTAGATCGACTGGTAAAGGCTGTATTTCAAAGATGGCTTCTGCCTGTATACGCGAAGTTGACTATGTATTAAATATCTTCTTATTAAACTGTCTGGACACTGACAAAGTTCTCAATGCTTCGGTTTGAAGGTAGGGACCCTCATTATGCTACCGTGTTAGTGTGGGGCTATTTTCAGCCTTGTTAGTGGTATTAACAAGCGATTTTTATTTGTCATTACACTATGCCCAATATACTAGCGTTATACTAGCTTTATAGGCTAAACTGTTTTTAGAGATAAAACTATTTACATTCGATAATCATGAAAACAAATCTCAGATAACGGTTGACTAGGTAACAATGTGTAATTAGACCAAAGGTTCATTTTGCGCCGGAGTTCTCCTTTAAAGGTGCACCACCAAGTAGTTTTTCATGTAAAAAAAATATTTTTGACAAATAATGAAATTCATTAACCTGGATGCCAGCCGAGCTTAATTGAACTTGAACAATTAGGCGACACATCAGAAATTGTTGCTTGGTAGCTCGATCGATTTATTTTCAGACGTTCATCGAGTTGAGGAAACAGTCGTCGGTGAAATGTTTGGACCATACACAACTTGTCGGCGCATTTCCAGAGAAAATAAAATTAACCCATTGTTTCTTCAGAGGCTCGGATGAAGGAACTAAAAAATACTTTTGTGTTCATTTGTACATCCGAACACTGATCAACTGCCATGCTTCGCTCGTTTGCAAGCCATGATATCTCTCGAGGAAAAACTCAAATCTCAAAGATATTTCTCTAGGAAAAACTAAAATCGCGCCGGCGCGTTCGCACTTCCAGTTCCTAGCTCGTTTTCTCATGGGCGAGCCAAATTCTCCGGGCGGGCAAAGCAGAGAAAGGGGAGGTAACCTTTCCTCCTTATGACGTCATAACGGGAGATTCAAGATCAGCGCGTCTGAGCTGCAGAGAAGAGGAAAAGAGGAAAACCAAAGCTCGGTTTACACCGATTGAAAATTCTAGACACGAGGGGACCAAATACAGGCTAGGGGAACTCATATTAATGTTAAAAAAAACTCAGAAAGTGAAAATTTCACCTTTAAATGTTGTTTATGTGTCTGTGGTGTTTTTAATACGCTTTAAGACACACCATGTGTAAGTTCATAAGTCGACAGCATTGCTGAGTATTTTCTGCTTAAAACTGCAGTGAACCAAAGACAGTCTCAAAAACACGGTTTGAAATCGCTGGTGTTTCTGACGTCACAAACGACCTTGTAACCAATCAGATCAACGTGTGATCGTCAACCAGTGGATCTCTGAGCTGAGGGAGTGAGTGGAGGCGGGGCTCATTTGCATATTCATAGAACCGCGCATACTAAATGAGGCGAGGGTGTCGAGTTACATTCAAGATATTTTAAGGCGTGAAGATGAAAAAACGTTTATGTCAATTTGGTGATCAAAGATGAGTTTTAAGGGATAAAATCATTGACTACAGATTCTCTAGATGGGTTTTTTAATGCGTAGACCAAATGGACAAATGCAACTTACATATTAATTGAATGCTGAATAGGTTGGATTTTCCTTGTTTGTCTCAAGTTTGCATACGTAAAGACAGCATTCATTGGCTTCCACACACAGACTTTGGATCGGTGATGTTCCAGGCTCCCAGAGCCAATCGTATGCCTTGGTGGTGTACAGAATACAAAAGTCGTATATATGAAGCTGACAGAAATGCGTACAGACAGTTTTTGTTTGTGAGAACTTGAAACCGGATTCTATTGTTTATCTTCAGTTGGATTTTTTTGCTCGATAGCATTCATGTACTTGCTTCTGTAGAAAATACAGATATCATCTAGGCCTATATGAACTACAATGAACATCAGAACCAATGACTTTGCAGGCCAGACAGGGTTTGCACTATCTCGACTCTAAACTTCTTCTTCTTTAATTTATATAGCGCCTTTCCAGAAGCTCAAGGTCGCGTTACATTGTACATACAATACATTTAGACACCCATATATTACAGTCACATAGGATACATATAATCACATTATCCAAAATGCATGTTAAAAAGATATGTTTTTAACTGGGTCTTGAAAGTAGCCACAGAAGAGGTAGTGAATTCCATAATTGAGGAGCATTAGTACTGAAAGACCTTCCTCCTACAGTAGACAACCGGAAATGAGGGACGGACAGTAAACCAAGTTCAGCTGACCTGAGAGACCGTGTAGGATGGTAAGGGTGGAATAGGTCAGACAAATATTGTGGAGCAAGACCATTTAATGCTTTGAACGTTAGAAGCAGTACCTTAAAGTGGATACGTGATGCCACAGGTAGCCAGTGAAGTTCATAAAGCAGAGGAGTAATGTGCGCAGAACGCCTAGTAGAGGTGAGGACTCTCACTGCAGAGTTTTGAACGTACTGTAATCTTGCAATACGTTTTTTGGGAAGACCAAGAAATAAAGCATTGCAATAGTCGAGGCGTAATGTGAATAATGCATGAATTAAGGTTTCAGCATCAGCTAAGGTGAGAGAAGATTTTTCACAAGAGAAGAAATATGAGAGCCAAAGGATAGAGTTTGATCAAATAAGACACCAAGGTTACGAATCGATGACGAGGGCTTAATGTGAGTTCAATCAATATCAAGGGACTGGTCCAT